CTCTGTGCATTTCTTCATGCCGTGCTTCCACGTCATTTGTTGACCACCGCGCCGTATTCGCAGTGACGGCTCCAAGTTGAAAGAAACCGCGTGGTGGTCAACAAATGACGTGGAAGCACGGCATGAAGAAATGCACAGAGCGGTTAGGTAGAATCAGTGTTTCCCGTCTTTCAGGTTGGGGTCCGAAAGACTACAACTGGATGACTGGAGACATTAAGGGATATGGCGACTAACCCACAGCAGTGGCGCTCTTGTTGTCATTTCTTAACAAGGCAGAATACTTGAAAAAGGTATGCATGAACACTTAGATTGTGTACTGTGTTGAACATAGAGGTTCTCTTTCTTTGCCTCCCTCGAAGTAGGCCCAATCCCTCTCCATCTCTTGCTTTATCATTTGATTTGTGTACATTGTGAGCTTAGCAGCGATCAGTGAAGCTCGCTTCATCGTATTTCGCTGTACGATGATGATGATGGTCAAAACAACGCGCACACTTGATGTGCATACGCATCAGGCGTTCTGACCTGATAAGAAACGACAAAAATACCACTGCTTTCGGTTTTCTGTCACATTCTTTAGTATCTCTAATCAACCAGTTGGCCTTTCGGGCCCCAATCTTTTTACGACAAAAACGAATACAGCAAAAGGGGTACACCCCATGATCCGAAGATATACAGTAAGTGCGAAGGTAACGGGAACATGCAAGCTAGAAGGCAGGAGACAACCACTAGTTAATCGCTGTGCATTTCTGCATGCCTCGTTTTCGTGTACTCTGCTGTCCTCTATGTGGTTTCTTTCAACCAAGAGCCACAACTGCAACCTGCGATGTGGTAGATGATAACTGGGCATGTGAAACATGTCTCAACCAGCAAAACATGCCAATCTGAATTCTACATGATAACGGATTTTCCACTGAAATACGCGACGGCTTACCTTAGAAGTGCTTACACGCCCGCGTCAAACTACGCAACCACCAGTAATTGAAGATGGTGATTATCTACCCCAAAAAGCAAATTAAGGGTCTCGCAACCGTTTTTCTCCATACTCGTCTTAGTTTATGTTCCTCAATGGAAAAGGAGTTAGTTTTTAAGGATAAAGGCATCACGCTGATATCTCCATAAACATCGAACCATCCTTAATTGTAGCCTTTCACTTTTCACAGACCATCGATCAACATCGGAGACCGACACATATCGAGTTTGGATGAAGCTTAACTAAGTACCGTTCACGAAGCTGAGGTCATCTGATTGCCTTTTTTGTACTAGTAGATGAGTTAAGGTCGAGATAGTAAGATGAACTAGGATGTTTTATCGTCATTTGTTTTGATAACTCAACATCAATGTAACAGTTACTGGGTCGTACCCAGTGAAGAACCGACTTAAAAGAAACGCATGGAACCTCCACCAAGACAGAATAAAACCGGTAGGTTACGGGATGCAGGTAGCCGCATTTAGTTTACCTAACGCTTGTGAATGCAATGCTACGAAGCGTGGGAATTCGGTGAGAGGTATCCAAGGTAAAGTTAGCGGGCTTCTGTGCTACCTTTAATCGCAACTGGGACGAAGTACTCACCTGTGCGTTATAGGCTGCCAACTCAGCGTCCAACTGTTCCTTGGTGACTGTAGTGCGTGTGTCTCGACCACGACCACGACCTCTACCCCGACGAGGACTGGGCGTCCCACGACGAGCAGCTGGGAAACGACGACCCGCTGCGGGGCTGCGTGCGGGTCCGACTCGATTGCGCATTCCACCTTCCGGATTAGCACCTGCAACGAATGAATGAACCAGGGTAGTTTCGTCACCGCGAACGGTAACAGATCACGAATCGTAACAACGGAGTTTCTTTCAAATCATTGAGATTCAAACTTTTACCTGTTGATATAATAGTAACTGCTCAACATTTCGAAAGGTTAAGTTACGCAGCCATATAACACGAGGAAAAATCGGAAGAGGTCAAAAATGCGCGGTAAATGCGATAATAAGCATGGTTATGGCAAAAATGGCCTCCACTTGTGGTGCTCATGTCGACAGTTGTTCAACCTTGGGCCGTAATCAGTGAACAAGTCTGGTTAACTATTCATTTCCCCAAGTACCTGTGTGCATGGTAATCAAGACAAATAGCTAAAGCCAATTGGACTTAGATAGCTAACTCATATAATGGTTCTTGGAATTAAATTGTCATTGGACTGGGCCACACCAGACTCACGAACAGTCCAACTTATCGATCAAATGCTTGTCGAAAACCTTGCCATTCGGGAATATTTCAACACGATTAATGGATCCACTTGATACCAGCAGGTTACTGTGACTTCAGATAGGACTCAAACTGACTTTTCTCCTCTCTCGAAATCTTCAATCACTTTCCCTGATCGATTTGTGCCTATAAAGCTTAGGAATGTGGTGATGGGGAGAAATCTTCCATACAGGTGAAAAATTATTTAGATAAAACTTTTAACAACTGATTAAACTCCCTGAGGCGTGGAACTACCACCGACCGAAGGTAACCATAACGTCCTCGTGCAACTCCTGCCGACGACCACGAAGTATGCGATCCAGGCTTCCGGAGATGCGAGGGCGACCTCATGCCCCACGATCGTTGAACATGCATTTAGTAAGCGGTGGGAGACGCTCTGGCAAACTCCACAAAACTTTATTTCGACATATGCGTTTACCGCAGGTGCTAATCAATAACAAGTAGTGCAGAGCACGAACGATCCAAACCGGTTTGAAGCACGAAGACGACACTTCCGGATCGTCCAAGTGGAGCCGCAACTCCAACGGCGACTAACCTGCGCCAACAAGTTGAATAACCATCGGACGGCCATCGAGGGGAACACCGTTGTAATGGTTGCGGGCTTTAAGAGCACTCATAGCAGTAGTGAACGTCACTTCAGCGGTACCAAGTGAGCGTCCGCTTCGATCATAATGAACCGTTGCCCGTCGGATAACACCGAATTCACGGAAGAGCTCCTGTAAATCGAAGTATAAGGTTAACACGTGATACCAAACCCACGTTTATATCCGAATTGCTAACGCCAAAGTCCAAATTAGAGATATGCAATTTGTTAGAAGAAGTCGTTGGGGCAGTCCCCCGCCCCCCTTGAAACATATCGTGTTGCCATTTATCAGGTAGTGTACGAGCCTAAAGGATAGGGGCCGTCTATAAGAAACGCTTACCGCTCCACCAGAGCTTCTGCGTGTAATTCCGCCACGCCGCACCCCTCTCAATATATTGGATCCACGGCCTCGCCCTCGATCACGACGTTTCTGTTGTATAATATCGTCCAAACTCAAGTCCATCGCAAGAAAACGAAACCTCTTTGGAGTATCGCGCTCGTTCAAATTTGATGTAACAAAACAAATTCAAATCGCATTTAGTTCACCTTTAGGATATTGACTAAAATATGAAAACGATTCCAGTTTTATGGCAGCTTTGCGCTTCTAATGTCTTCAATAATTAAAAGATTACTCGGTTATGTCAGCTCAGCTTCCTCGGTTATCGGGTCATGTCCAGTCGGTTCAGGTCAGGTCAGGTCAGGCCACAGGACTTGTGGCTCGAGTCAATATGTGTCCCGGTTCTTGCACTCCGAGCTCCGTGTTCTCGTGGTGCTTCGACTGCCAAACGTTCCTTTGACCCAGCTTATCTGCAGTAGCTGGATGCGGATACGATTCTTCCCGGTCACTGATACTAAATGCTGGAAAGTAGAAATGTGTATTCATAATTTGGAAAATGGTCTAGAGTGAAGTCGGTCTAGTCTAAAACTGGGTGAGTTGCATTTATGGGTCAATTTAAGGATACAGTGAAAAGGGATAAGATATTAAGAATGATGAAAGAGGGTAAATACTTCAGGAGGTATCCGCATTTTTCCGCGGTGTGCGTGTCACAGAAATCCGTCTCTAACAATCTGTCGTAGCTCACCCACTCACCCCAATGACGGTTAGTCACCATCTTGCGTTCGCACTTCGGATCAGTCTGATTTCGGCCGTGCATACACAAGCAAATGCAGACAATCTTACATGTTACACTAACCGCCTATGGTACCAACCACAATCGTCTTTTCTGTCAAAGGTTGGAGCACGAAGTCGAAGTGCTCTGCTTAACGCTCTTAAGGCGTTTTATCTGACAGCATCCAAGAAAAGGTACCCTTGTCGCTGTAGCATTAGTGGCTAGTGGATCTGTAACTGCACTACGGCACTCAGATTAACTGGGATTCAGCAAAGAAGGTCCTTGTTGCAGCCTCCAGGACCGAAGCTAAACTAAATATGGAATGATGGTGTTGGTCGGGTAATGGCTTTCTGCTTGCTGTGGATCAGCCTCAACCACGATCCATTCTAGATCGAATCAGACGCGTGTCTCTTTTATTCCATTTGAACCTCTCTTTTTTGGTCTGTGAGATTTCGGCACACCGGTATTAGCCGGAGACGAGGTTGCCTCGGTGACCGTAGTTGGGTTTGTTGTCCCCAACTTGCGTTCACTACATGTTAGTTACTACTTTCGTCTCGCAGTGCCGGGTGATATCTAGTCACACCAATGATGTTTGGTTTGGTGGACAGGACTGCTCACCCATTGCATTCGCAATTGGGTTCAGTATGAGGTATGGACCCATCAGCTATTCTGCCACCTTTCGGTCTCGCAATCGGACTGACCACAGTTTCACACAGAGCCTTCTCATTCCCAGCTGTCTCCCGCTTTTTGTGCAGCTTGGGCTACTTATGGGAGACAACACTAAGCCGTGGTACACTGATCACCCAGTTTGGTCTTTGTGAATTACCGGCTTTCAGATATACTCTCATCCATACTCACAACAGCAGTCTTTAGTCTCTAGGCTAATGATGTCCACGAATTCGTACGTGTAGCGACGGACGAAGTAACGAATCAAAGCAGAACGACTGATATCACGAAACCTCAACGACGGTTGTGTTGGAATGAGCTGGAGAGTAGAGAGAGAAGCGTACAGGTAAGTAAGCCTGCAGAAAGTGAAAGTCAACGTACCGCGACCAACGAGGTAATCTTGGTCCGGTAAAACAACAAGGTTCGGCAGATGGAAAAGGTCCACGAGCGGAAGGGGTAAATGTGCGCGTGGGTGCAGTCTTTTTGGCTATTGAAAATCGAGTAGGTGAAGCAAATGTCTAGTAGTCCGCCTGATGTGCAGATATTGGAACAAATAGATGTCTGCAGTCCGTCCAGGTTTCGCTACTTGCCCCATTTTTTNAACAAAAAAGGATGTGTTGAAAATGGGTCCGTCACAGCTGGGTACGAGCCAGTAAATAACTGACCGGAGCTGTCAGAAACAGATCTTCGATACCCTCAAGATGCTAGATCGGTAGGTTAGTTGGGGGTGGGGCAATTGAAGTTCTCCTGTTGATTATTTTCTCTCATGTGGTCGGTTTGTGTTCTCTTCTCCCCGGGTTGTGTCTGGANCCGGAACAAAAAAGAAAAGAATTTCCAAGTAGCTCCTGTTGGAGTTGATCGGCAACAGCGAACATCAATAACAAGAATGAATGAGAGAAAAAATGTTTTTTTCTTTTTTTATGCAAAAAATAGTTATGAGATAAAAGTTGCAAGTTAAGCGCGAGGGATCAATTGAAGTGGATAAAATCTACTTGAGAGAGTGCTATATCAACACTGAAAACTAAATGGTTTACTGACTTCAGGGCCGCGGCGGTAGTGCTTCAACAGTATCGATGGTGGTGTTGATCTTGACGTGAGTGCCGCGCGGTTTAAAATTTTGAAGTGCTCTGTGTTTTGGCTAACTTTATCGTTGTTGCAGTGAAATAGCGTCAGTTATCTCACAGGTTTTGACGCAGTTTTAGTACGGCAGAGTTATATTTAGTTATCCGGGGTTTATATTCTCCGAAGTAACTATTTCTCGCATCGTTTTTACCCTTTTTGTCTTTGCTGTGTATCTGTTACCCGAAGTTTTACGTTCCTAGGAGTATTACTAATTTCTATTTGTAGTCATTTTTGGTTGAATTATGCCACGAGTATCCTATCCATGTCGCAATAAGGAATGCAGAAAAGGCGTAGTTAAGGGAATTGAGTGCGAAGTGTGCAAGAGATGGGCCCATCCAAAGTGCTCCGGTATCAGTGCAGAAGTGTATTCACTGTATTGCCAGAGTAAGTGGGCCGAATGGGTATGTATACGCTGTAAGGAAGCGGCATGGCTTGCGTTCCAACGTGAGTCGCGTAAGATAGAAACACCATACAGAGAGAATATCCCTGAACATTCAGGAACAAAATCGCTACCCGCGGCCGCAGGGCGTCGGTCATATGCAGAGGTTGCCAGTACTCCAGCGCAAAAAGTGTTATCAGGAAGTCCCAGCAATTTCTCGGTGGCGTCTCCCTCTACCCCGGTTCGACAGGTTGTCAGCGGAGTAGGGATGAAGGTAGCTGGGAAGGTGCAGCAACCGGTGAAGAGACCTC